CTACCCCTACCACCTCTCTTACTACCCCTACCACCTCTGTGAGCCACTACATCACCTGTGTTACCCACTGCACCACCTCTGTTACCCCCTCTACCACCTCTACTACCCCTTGCACCACCTCTACTACCTCTTACACCACCTCTAGTCCAATGACTGATATTAGGATCCAATCTTGGTCTACCCATTTTTTTCTTGGGTTTGGGTTCTGGTGTGACCTTGGGATTCTTACAGGATGCCTTGTTATGACCCCTTTGAAGACAATTTTTGCATTGGACAGTCCTTCCTTTTCCTGTAACCTTCATCTTATTTTGGGAGTATTTGTCTTGAGATTCAGTGGCATGCCTCTTTCTTTTCAGAGTTGGTCTCCCTGGCATTCTTCTAGCTAAAGGGGGTAGAGGCTTTATGTATGATGTTCTAGGCCATAAATTTCTACCATTCACAGGTAGTATATTGTTTGCATATATGGCCTTGAACCTGTCCACATGAAACCACTCACTTATGAAATGAACAGGATCTTGTCCAGTGAATAATATTGCACACTGTGCATGTACACATGGAATTCCTGAGATATCCCAAAGCCTACAGCTGCACACTCTGCTTTGTAAGTTAACCACGTACCCTTCTAATCCATTCCTGGCTTCAAAAATAGATGGTCCACTTGGATTCACATTCCAATTCCTACAATGGCATTACTAAATGAAATCATAACAATGAAATTAGAATAATGATAACAAGGAACAATAAAAATGCTAAGACAAACCTCAAATCCTCTCCAAACTTGTTCATTTTTTTGATAGCAGCTGGACAAACCACTGATTCCCACTTTTCTGCCTTTTGTAACATATGGTAGAACCTATCCATCATGTACAACCTAATTTCTTCAAACATTGCTAGAAGGGGTTTCTTTCTAGCATCCAATATGATGGCGTTGAAGCACTCTGCAATGCCATTTTCAACTGCCTCACATGCTACATCAGTCCTAAAAAATGCCCTGCACCATGTGTGAGGATCTCTTGCGATCAAATGTTCATAAGCATTTGGATTAACCTCTTTTATATCATCCATTTTCCTGAGAAATTCACTCTCTACAGTTGATAAGGAAGCTGCCCAGAACATATTCTTGAACTCCACTCCAGAATAGGTCTTCCTAAAGTTAGCATATATGTGTCTTGCACACTGTCTATGCTCCACATTTGGTAGGACTTCTTTGGTTGCTTCAAGCAATCCCTACAATTTAATGAATACATAAACATATAAGATGATGTTAAGGAAAAATCATAAATATGCAAAGAAATTACAAACCTTATGTTGATCAGAAATTACAGTAAACCCTCCTCCATCTAGCAGATTAAGATCCTCTGTGAGCAGTTCCAAAAACCATTTCCAATTAGCTTTGTTTTCAATGTCAACAACTGCCCAAGCAATTGGATAAACTTGGTTGTTTGCATCCCTCCCTATTGCTGTGAGTAATTCTCCTTTACATGTCCCTTTCAAGAAAGATCCATCTAGACCAATTACCCTACGGCACCCTATTTTCCAACCTTCCTTGATTGCTTTAAAACACAAATACATCCTGTGAAAGTATGTTGTTTGATCTGGATTTACAGTGACACCAACTTGGACAGTGCTACCAGGATTTGACCTTAGTAACTCATGGCAATAGTCCCACACCCTAGCATAATGTTCTGTAAGTTTACCATCTATAATGGTCATTGCTCTACACCTTGTTCTGTAAGCCTTAGACCAAGATACACCACAATGAAATTTGGTCCTAATTATTGATTGCATCTCCTTACACTTCAAGTTAGGTTTCATTATCAACTCCTTCAAAAAGTGTCTTGCTAGCCATCTGGGACTCAGTAAATTTGAAATATTGAAATTTCTAACACATTTGTGCTCATCGACTAAGGTTTTAATCTGAAAAGACCTTTCTTGAGTCATCCAGGAAGCATGAACTCTGAATGGGCAGGGTTGAGACTTCATCTTAGAACCACATTTGGCAGTTAATCTCACAGTGTCACACTTCGCAAATTTAATGTTATACCCTGACTTAATAGCATAATTAGTGAGACATTGTTGCAACTGATGTGGTGATTCATACCTTTCACCAAGAAGGGGCTTCATCTTATTCCACTTAACTGATGGGTCGTGAATGGGGAAGCCTGCACCAACCGCATCTCCCAAATCAAGATCATTAGCCCCTGCTGTGTCATCGATTTCCTCTTCTGAACCAAACCCTTCTTCATCTTCATCAACTAAGTCATTGTCTTCATCGGCTTCATTATCTTCATAATCAGAACTGAAGTTAAGGAAAGCATCCTTGCATCTCTCTTTACCCTGTATCTTGAAATCATCTTCTTCCATTTCCACATCTATGTGCTCAGTATCGAGCACCTCGTCATCATCTTCGTATTCTTCAGAGTCGTATTCTTCAGATGACTCATGGCGAACTTCTTCTGATTCGACAACCATTGGGTTTTACCTTCGTTTCTCTCAGTAAAACCTTACTTCCTTCGTGTATCACTCTGTAAAAACCCTATCTTTTTCTCTCAATCGATTTACCAGACGTCGAATGCAGTGGAAATGGAAGGGTAAAACTAACTTGTACACGTAAGGTGCCACATGCGCAAAACACCGGTGGGATACCAGCTAACCTATTAAATATCTCGTTTTGATTACGTTTACAGGTATTTAGAACTAAATTGCAAAAAAAAATATATAAGGGCTAAATCGATTATACGGGCAATACTTAGGGACTTTATTGCAGTTTTCCCTATATATATATATATATATATATATATATATATATATATATATATATATATATATATATATATATATATATATATATATTCAACTTTTATATCTTTCTATCATATCTTTATATTTTATACACTTTCTTTAATTAAAAAAATGGATTAAAACTCAAACACCCCCATCCATCGATCATCAAACTCAAACACAACACCAAACACAACCTCATCTCTCGAATTTGTGGGTTATAAAAATTATTTCAACATTTTATCGTCTCAATGATCACCACAAATCTCATAGCAATGCGCCGCTTTCAATCCCGTTTCACCACCACTGCAATTTTCCAACTCACCTTACCTTCAACAAAATCTATTTGTTCAAAACCCAAATTTACAACAAAATCTTTTCCCTACTTTTGCTTCGATGCTACAACCAACTAATCAACTATCACCTACAACACAACCATCGGTTGAAATGGAAGTGGGATGTAGTAGGAGAGGGAAAGGGAAAGAAAAATCGAAAAGAAATCAATAGCGGTTGAAACAGAAAATGCAGACGTTCCACAATGGTGGACACCGGAGGAAGAATATGCTTTGACGGTGGCTTGGTGTGCTACTTCAAAAGACGAACTCTGCGGAAATGGAATGAAGAAATAAGCTTATCGAGGGGCGGTGTGCGACAAGTTTCACGCTATTTTGAAGAAATATATATATATATATATATATATCACAACAATGACACGTTGAGCAGCAAATTGGTCAAATAACTAAGCGGTGCAGCAAATTCAATGGTATTTACAACCGGCTTGAGGCGCAACAGCAAAGCGGAACTAACGACTTCGATTTGTTCAAATCTGCTAATGAACAATATCGGGTCAAAATGAGACATGTTTTCGACTTTGAAAAATCATGGGAGTTGTTACGTATGGATCCAAAGTGGAATAAAATGCATACATCGTCGGAGGTTCAATCCAAAAGGTCGCGCAATTCTACCTCGGTCAACGTGTGAGACGCATGGACTCACATCAACCTAAACGCCGACACCGATGAGATCCCGGATGATATCAAGGAGATATCCCCACCACAACGACCTCCCGGACGCGACAAAGCAAGATGCGCTGCAAGGCATGAGTAAGAGGTTGAAACGAAAGCAAAAGAGGCGGCGGAAATGAGAGCGAAATTCGACGAACGCAATTTATTAATAAAAGAAAAAAATGACTTGAAACATTATCATTTGGAGTTCCTCGAAAGGCAGGCACGGGAGAAGTATGAGCAAAAAGAGAAGGAACTAATGACATATCAGTTGTCAATTCTTCGGACGAGCGATAAGGGTTTGACGCCTGCTGATCTAGCCGTGCTACAAACGATGAGTGAACAAATTTGGAAGAAATATTTTGGTTAATTAGGATTGTTGTGTGGTGTTAGAAATAATTTGAATTGTATTTTAGTTATGATATTAGGTTTAAAATTATGTATTTTTTAATTGTAATCGTAATTTTAGATTTTAAATATTATGTCTTTTTTGTTTTTAAGATTTTATGTTTTATAGAAACATATTCATTTTATTGATTAACAAAAAACATAAAAAAGAAAAAAACCAAAAAGGAAAAAATCGAGAAAGGGAAAAAAACAAAAAAGAAAAAAAAACAAAAAAGAAAAAAAAAAACAAATTCGAAAAAAAAAAATAAAAAAAAACATATTTATTTTCAAAAAGTTGTGTTGCATCTTGTTACCCATTTCCTCCACTTGGTATTATAACTCTATTTACTTATGCAGCATGTGAGATGATATAACTTGAAGTTGCATCTTATTGCCTACACCTAAGGCTCCCTTTCCTTTTTTTTGTATTCAATATACCATCGAACTTGTTGTTTGTGTTCAACATAACTCTTTTGACCGGCTTTTGACCTGTGATAGCCGGTCAAAGGGTTATGGTGAACACAAACAACAAGTTTGATGATATATTGAGTATAAAAAAGGAAAGGGACTAAATGAGAACAAACTCAACAGTTGGTTACCCGAAAAGTTAAATGAAATTAAAAAAGGGACTAAAAAAGGCGTAATATTTTCTGTGACATATTGAGTCCGACAAGGTCCAGATTCCGTTTTCAGGTAATTCTGATTTCTGATTGTCAACTGCCGTTCAAAAAAAAAAAAAAAAGTTCTGATTGTCAACTCATTATATATCAAACGTTAATAAAGAGCTCAAAATGCTATTGTTGCTATCATCAGTTACCATATTTAATTAGAACAATTAGTGCCGTCCAAAAAATATTATAATTTTTTTGTGGTGCATATGGTTATAATTTACCTGTGCAAGTAGTTAATCAGAACAAGCACCTACCTATCTGCAACCATGGTGCACAGAAAGCAGAAGAAAATCAGCCTTTTTCTTCTAATACTCATTGGCTTTTTAAACCTTGTAGTATCTACACACTCCATTCCATCTGAAAACAAAAATATCAACAGAAATAACAATATGTTAACAAGCTTGGGGATCATTCTAGATATTAAATCATGGATAGGGAAGTCAATTCACTGGAGCATTACCATGGCCATATCTGATTTTTATGCTCTTAATCACAGCTACAAAACAAGGATAGTTGTTCACACTAGGGACTCCAAAGGAGATGCCATTAAAGCTTTGTCAGCTGGTAAGCTCTCTTGTTTGTTTCATTTAGTTATATATTCAGTTTCCCTTAAGTTATTTTTCTTGAAAGTAATTTTTTCTTTTAATTTGCCTGAGTAGTAGACGATCTTCTGAATAACGTAAAGGTGAAAGCCATCATAGGCCCAGAAACGCATCTTCAATCCAAGTTATTGTCCTTGTTCACTAACAAAGCTAAAGTTCCTATATTTTCTTTTGCTGGTAGATCATCAATGGAATACCCATACTTGTTCCAAATCAAAGAAGAGGAATCCACAATGGCAAAAAGCATTGCTTCCCTTGTGGAGTTATATAAATGGAGGAATGTTATCTTTATTCATGAGGACACCGATGATGGGAGGGAGATATTACCATATTTGGCTGAGTCATTCCAAGATAAAGGCATCCGGATCAGTTACAGAAGCGCCATTTCTTCCTCAGCCACGCTTGATGATATCACCAAAGAATTGCATAAGCTAATGACTTTTAATACAACTATAGTCATTGTACATATGTCGCCTTCTCTAGCATCCAGCCTTTTCCTAGAAGCAAAAAGGTTACGAATGGTTACAGAAGAATATGGGTGGATTTTAACTGAAAAAACAGTTGATCTCTTTCGATCAACAAAGTTTGAAGTTATGGAGTCATTAGAAGGGGCACTAGGTTTTAGGTCGCACTTTCCAGCATCACGTAGGTTGCATAACTTAACAGCAAGATGGAAAAATATATTTTACAGAAGGTACCCTACCTCAATAACACAAGAGATGCCTCTACCTTCCATATGGGCATACGACACAATCTGGGCACTTGCAGAGTCTGTTGAGAAGGTTGGAGTCCCACATATTAATGGTGGGACTTTGCTCTTGCATGAGGTTTTGAAAATCAGATTCAAGGGTATAAGTGGTGAGTTTGAACTTAGTGAAAGAAAAGTAAGATCCAATGGATATGAGATTGTGAATGTAATCGACTATGGTGAGAAGAGAGTAGGGTATTGGACACCATCAGAAGGAATCCGGACATTAGAATCTGTGATTAACAGCGAGCATCGATATTTTAGTCCAAAAGGGTGGGAGTTACAAACAACTCCCAGTAAAACGTTAAAAATTGGTGTTCTGAAGATAAAAAACTTTAAGTACTTCATGGATGTAGATCATAACGCTGAGACAAACGTTACAACGGCTAAAGGTTTCTCGGTAGATGTATTCAATACTTGCATACGTGCGTTACCTTATAAAGTACCTTACATATTCATCGCATTTGAGAATGTCACTTACGATGATCTTGTACGCAAAGTCTATAATAAGGTATGTATCTTGTTTCTGGCTGAAGAAAACGCATATGATTAATATAAGAAGACATCTAATATTGTAGTCTATATATAATAGTTTATATATTACTTCTTGATAGGAAATTGATGCAGTGGTGGGCGATTCAACAATCTTGGCGAACAGATCAGTGTATGCTGACTTTACAGCGACTTACACCGACTTGGGTATAGGAACACTAGTGAGAATCAAGAAAAGAGACATGTGGTTTTTCTTAAAGCCGTTTGACTTGGGTCTATGGTTAACTGCTATTGCTTCGCTTATTCTAACTGTGTTTGTTGTCTGGGCTATTGAATGTATGAATCAAGAATCCGAACGTTCACTTGCTCAACAATTTGGAACAATCTTCTGGTTCATCCTGTTGACCATCTTTTTTGCTCAAAGTTCTCCCTCTTTCTCTCTATGATCCTTTTACGAATTGGAATTTGATAAAAATCTTAGAGTGGGTTTCATTTGTATTGTAGGAGAGAAGTTATCAAGCAATCTGTCAAGATTTGTACTGTTTATATGGTTACTCGTAGTTCTTATATTGATCACCAGCTACACAGCAACACTGACCTCACTGTTGACAGTAGAACAATTTGAATTAGCATCAAAGCGGGGAATTGTGGGGTTTCATGGAGGCTCTTTTATGAGAGGAGGGACTGTTAGTAACATACACTTTGAAGGTCATCAAAAGAGGGATTACTACTCATACGAGCATTATGCTCAAGCTTTGTCAGAAGATGGTGGTGCTGATGCCATTGTTGATGAAATTCCGTACATCAAGATGTTTCTTAGCAGGTACTCAGGAGACTATGCCTTGGTCTCTTCTGAACCTATCACTTCTGGTTTTGGCTTTGTAAGTACTCCTCCTCTTCATCCTTTGCAATTCTTAGCAAAATAATACTACTCTTGCTTGAATTTAATTACTTGTAAGGTTTCTCTCTTAAGAAGTCATGGAAATACATCTTAACAAATGCAAGGAAATGTGCATGCAAGAACTAAAATTGTCTTTTGATTTGGCCGACATCTACCATATATTGAACTCATTGGAGAGTTTAATAGATTGGTAGATCATCATTTTACTTTCTATACAATTCTACCATATGTTTAATTTATACAACCAACTGTTTAATTTCTTTGATGTATTGAAGTGTACAAAGTGTGGTTAACATGTTTATAAAATCTAATTTATGACGTTTAATAATTAAAAATTTGTCTTTTTATAGTGGTCATTTAACTTCATAAATATCATATCTCACAATTGTAGATCTTCATCCTAAATTCTTTTCATGCACGCTTCTATCATGTGTCCAAACTTTTGGCAATAAAAACATTGGATCTATAGTGACTACAATGTATTCCAATTTTATAGTAAGGCTACGTAAAATCATTTCCACAACTCTCGTGTCTTTGGTGTTTTCACCGTTGATCCTCATTTGGTTTAGTAATACCATTACTTGGTTGTGGTATTCTTGTATGGATTCGGACTCCTTCATTTTAATATTATCGAATTAACACCTTAATTAGGGTTTGAAGTCTCACGAGTTTAAGCTTTTCTTGACCCCGGTAACTCTTGTAAAGAATATCCCATGCATGTTTATGCTGACGTTGAGGAGATCCTTTATATATCTTTCTCTTTATTTTGTTTTAACTCGGCAATTTATCTTGCGTTAAGGGTAGATACATTATTTGGTTTAATATATCCTCTTTAAACAATATTCCACAAATCTTGGGGTTCATAAAGAACTTTCATTTGGATACTCTAGTGAAGCTAATTAATACCGGTTAATTTTAGGAGTTGTGGTTGTAATCTGTTTCTAACATTCAAAGACACCAGCTTTGATACCATGCACGATGATAGATCAAGAGAGGGAATTAACAAGGATAATATACTAAACTTTTATCTTTTATTTATTCACTTTTAGTGAGCAACACGTACAACGAGTTCCAATTATATATATATATATATATATATATATATATATATATATATATATATATATATATATATATATATATATATATAATATTTTGTTTCTATACAGTTTGTACCTTTTCAATATGCATGACTTAATAATCTAATATAACCGGCCCAAATCCCAATGAATGCAAACTAGTACTGTACCAAGACCGGTCTTGTCAGATCCAACTAGTCCATATGCCCATCCCTAATATAATTACAAACTTATTGGCGACGATAACGCAAAGTCTTTATTTTTTTTTTAATTGTTGTAGCAAATATATATCCACATTTGGTTGACATGTATCTTATTCAGATCTTCCAAAAAGGTTCTCCGTTGGTCGAAGATGTCTCAAGAGAAATCGCCAGAATAAGATTTGACGGAACTCTAAAAAGCTTGGAAAAGAAGTGGCATCAAAATCATTTATTTGTTCCGTTGCGAAATTCTACAATGCCCAAAACCTTAAAGATTGATAGATTTGGTGGAATTTTTATTATTAGTGGGATCACTTCAACTTTGGCCCTCATGATCTCTATAATTTGCCTACTTCAAGCGAAAATGGAGATCCATAATATCATTTTAGTTCTAGCGGGACGTAATTTGATGGCCAATATACGTTATCTTTGGTATAGAAATTTCATTTGAATGCTCGATTGATCTACCAACTAATTGTTGTAAAGTTGTAAGTGATCTTTCGTCGGAACATATTCATAACCTTTACATTAAATAAGGAGATAGTGTTTAGTTGTGTATATAATTTGTGATAGTCTTTCTAGCTAATAATCCAAGATTGCTGATATTTCTTGTACCTTGTATGTATACACAATGAAATACAAAATGTAACTCACATGAAAGAGGTCATGGTAGAGGTGGTAATAGCAACAAAAGAGGAGGATATCATGGTGGCGGTTCAACTCAGTCTCGTAATGGCGACCGAGGAACCTCCAAACAAGACAAAAGTAACATTTAATATTATAATTGTCAAGATTACGAGCACTACGTAGTTGAGTGAAAGAATCCACAAAAAGAAAGAAGCAATAGCAATAACAATGATGTGCTCTTGGTCCAAAACAAGAATGATAACATACAAGTGTTTTTTAGCAACATGCAATATGATGGATCACAAGGAAGAAATTTTCTTAAATGAACATAAAGTAACACCCAAACTGAGAGTAGCTAGAGGCTAATCAATTCATACTAATGTTTGGTATCTCGATAATGGAACAAGTAATCACATCACATGCCAAATGGACAAATTCCGAACCATTAATCAATTCCATTCATGGTGTTGTTCGAATTGGAGATGGTTCTAAAGTTTGTATTGAAGGTAAAGGTTAGATTCTTTTTCAATGCAACAATGGTGAAAAAAAACTATTACAAGATGTTTATTATATACTTAGCTTGTGCACTAGCATCATTAGTCTAAGACAACTTGCAGCAAAAGGTGTCAAGATTTTGATGTTGGGTCCTTTTTTTTGGATACACGACAAAGATGGAAGGCTCTTAGTGAAGGTAAAAGCATCATCTAATCGTCTCTATAAAATAAATTTAACTATAGAATAAATGTGTCTAACTAGTGAAACTAGTAAGTCATCATGGCTTTCGCATGCCTGCCTTGGGCATATCAATTTTCCAGCACTTAAGATGATCCCAGATAAAGAAATTGTGAATGGTTTATCTTGTATTAAAATGTAACCAAGGTTTGTGAATGATGCTTGGTCGTCTAGCAAACTCGAAACCCTTTCTTAACCAAAACACAGTATAGAGCATCAAATAAGTTAGAGCTCGTTCATGGTGATTTATGTGGTATATTAACGCCTCCTATACCTATACCATCAGGTAACATGCACTTCTTTATGGATCAATCATTTGTGCATGATAAATGTTAAGAATTTCCAATTTTATTAGGTACATGTGCTAAAAATTTTGAGAAAAACTATTCTACTGTTTCCATCTTGATAAAAAGCATGAATTCCAAAGAAAAAAAAGACTAAATATGTTGAATAAAGGTTTTATGTACTAAGGGCATCTACAATGCATTGAACTCTATAGAGTTCAATAGATTGCCATATCATCATTCTACAATCCATACAACTTTATAATTTTTTTGTCTACAATGCATTGACTCTACAAAGTTCATAGAATGTTACAAAAATGTAATTTATAGTAAATATTTAAGAATTAAAACTTTCCTTTTTCCCATTGAAGAGTTCAATGGTCATTGAACTTCAAATCCATTGAATGCAAATGTGGCATCTCACAATGGTTGGGTTTCATCCATTGAATGACATATGGACTTGCCACCTCTATCAAATCTCCCATTGAACTTACCATTGTGGATGCTCTAAGATTATACATTACATTAAATGAATTTAAATTTTGTGGTTATGTCGGTTTGAATTTGATCACAAGTCAAACGACATCTGAAGTCTATTCGTAAGTTAGAACCATACTAGATTATGACTCGTGCTAAACATGGGGGAACACATAAATAAAATAAAATGTATATAGATATTGCATAATAATTATAAAAAATCAAGGTTATTGGTATTATTGAAATGTGTAGAAAATACATTAAAATTGGTAAATATATATAGTCGTTGAAGGAACTCTTTGTAGACAATATTTTTTGTTTAATTAGTTGAACGACCTTCTTCATCACATATAAGTACCTTCAAACCTTTTTTACTTGTGACATAGAAAACAACTACATATAGCTGACCATGCATGAAAACGCGTCTATGCAAGTATAATCCATCATTTGACAATGAACTTTCAAAATACATTGTTATTTTAAGGTTATATTGCGAAATAGAACTGTTTATTTCAAAAAAAAAAAAAAAAAAATAGAAACTTATTTATGTTCATTAAAAAATTAACCACATAAACCCCCTACAATATTAAATATAAAGAAACTCTAACCAATAAATATAAAAACAATTATATTTGCTATATTTGCTCGATTCAGATTTTGTTCGTGACTCATTGAAAATGTCAAAAGACAGAACTGGCACACAACTTAATTGTTATTATGATATGGATTAAACAATTTATACACATGAGGATGTCTTTCTTTATTTTATTATAATGATAAAATAATGGAAAAAAGGAATGCTTACTTCAAGACATTTGCGGACGTTTGAGTAAGGTCTGTGGTCTTACATATAGTTATTAAATGGTTATTCAAGATGAATTAAAAAAATAATGTTTTCTTGTTGCTTCGATGCTAAACAGATAAAAGAACAAAAATAAAACTTGATTTTCAGTATATATTCATTTAGTACAAAAGTAGCCAACTATAATTAAAGTAATGAAAAAAACCATTAAGGAAAGTGGTAAATTGAGGTTCTATTTATTAATGTAATGCCCCATTTTGAATCGTTCCCATTCCAAGGTGGTGATCAAGGAGTGGGTATTGGATGAGTTAGAAACCTTGCAGATTTGATTTTGGACTCATTTGGAGGTGAATGATGTGGTTTGGATGATCCATTTATTCGGTTTGTGTTTTGGAGCCCAAAGGTATCAGCAAAGGCGTTGGTTCGGGTCATTTATAGATTTTGGATTTAAGTTCGGTTGGCTTTCAGGTTAAATAAGATTTATAGATGCGTAGGGCTTCTCATTAGCTTTTCGTGGATATAAAGAACGTCAAAATCGGAGTTATAATGAAGAAGTTAGAAGGGTTTGGGCCAAACCGTGTACGCATGGCATACCAAGTAAGAACATATGGCGTTCAAAAGGAAAATGGACACGGGTGCATATGGGAACGCCCTGCGTTCCCAAAGGGAACGCGCTGCACTCATCTGGGTAGACTAAACCCTAATTTTCGGGTCATGGACCCTATTTAAACACCTTAACTCACCCCAACCCTTATTCCCTTCATCCTCCATCCTATCTAACCCTAAGAACGAAACCCTAAACCTCTTGCTTGCATTTTAAGCTT